CTGCTGTGGTGAAAGATAGGACGGTTCTGATAACGGGAAAATGATGAACAGCAGGGATATACAAAATTATGAAGGAGATTATTACGGAAAAATATTTTAGACCCACATAACATTACTTTTACTGGCTTTTATTAATATTTAGGTACATTTCCTAAAAAAATAAAATAAATTTTTGCGGTTTTATTTCAGTCAGGATGCCAACATACCTGAGTTTTCTCTATCAAATCATATTATCTACAAGATGCTTTCTATGTCCATTTAAACTAATTACAACGATAAGTACAGAAAGCGTGAAAATACTATTTAAAATGTAGGTATATTGGAAAAAATAAAAAGTACTGACATCCAATTGGGAGGATCCACTAGAAAAATTCTCCAAGTGTAATGAAAGCTATACATTTTAGTTTTTTTAATTCAAATTATGACCTTACATACCAAAATTTTAACTTTCTTATATACAGGGTGTTTTGGAAAAGCGTACAATGTTCCGGATATAAGATCATTTTTTTTCCTTTAGCCCATAGGCCTATTGTCTTTTGTTTTTCAAATACAGAACACCGATTATGATTTCTTTTAAATTAAATTTTATCCATATTTTTTCCAAAAAACAGAAGACTCCCTTGAAATTTAGTACTGATAAATTTTCGAGAAAAAGATAATTGATGTCCCAAAGTTAACTAACTTTTATTGTTTATTATACAGGGTATCCAGAAACGAATGGGCCACACCATAAGGATGGCTTCCTTGGATGATAAAAATATATCCATTTAGATTAAGTTACCTTAGTATAATAAAAAGTTATCGGCCTCTAAAAAAATGCAATCAATTTTAATATCAAAGCTTTCATAAATGATTACAAGCCATGTTGGCAATTAAATTTCTGTAAAATTAAAAATTATTAGAACAATAAGATCAAAATTACATTAAAACAAAACATTCTGTTCCACCGGCTGGAAATTGGTGTAATTTTTAACGAAATTCTATTCAGCCAATTAACGATTGCTTTATCTCGAGGGTAGATGTAACGGTTTTCATTGTTCATTGTAGACGAATCATTAATTGTATAGTCAATAACATAACAAAAAATATTTATTAAAAAAACAAACGACTGTTGCGTTTCGAATATATAAACCAAATTTTTGAATGAAACATCCTGTATATTTGTCGCTTACTTACTGGAAGTCCTCTCCTTTTTCCGATTAAAGTGATATATGTATGTTATATGTTTGCTTTGACAGTTTGCACAATATCTTGATTTATTTACCGACCTTACACAATGGACAAAATCAAGATAGCCATGAAACCAACTATAAAATTTACTAACAGAAATACTTTATTAAGAATAAAAATACTATACTATAAAAGGTAAAAATGATAATGGGAGCAGAATGTTATGTGCGCGTTTTCAAATGCAACAAGAATATTTTTTTATTAAAAATGATATGTGACAGCAGAACATAAACTAAAAAGACATGTCATTAGGAAAGGTTGTATCTAGCTATCTCTAGATGGTAAAATACTAATAGCACTAATGACATATTTAGCACCCTGAAAAATTTAAATTTCATTGGATTACATCGTTTTTTGAAAAATGATGGCAAATATTTTATTTCTACAAATCATCTTTGACACCTTGTATCTCAAAAACAAAAGACACTAGGCCTACACTCCAGAATAAAATTTTATTTTTCAATGTTCTATGATCACCTGAATGTTTGGTACTTTTTCCAAAACATCCTGTATAGTGCAAAATGCATTGCAATTTCATTTTCTAAAATCAATATCTTCAGTTTTATCAGAATCATTACCAATATACAGGGTGTCCCGTTCATGTTTCAAAAAAACTTGTGTGCAAGTTCCTCATGGAAAAATAATAGTTTTCGAGATATAGTGTGTTGAAGTTGATACTTTCCAAATGGTTTTCCTTAATTATCTTTAAATCGGCTAAAGATAAAAATGTCAAAATTTATACACGAGTAAACATCAAGTGTGCGTTAAGAATATTGTGCAAACGGTTTCTTTCTGAAAAGCAGTGTCGCCGATACAGGTAATTCGAGGGGTACAATCGAAAAAAAAAAATTATTACATTCTTATACGGTTTTGTAAAGTCTAAAGCATGCTACAAAAAAAGGTATACTTGTCGAAATGCAAATACTGTTGGTAGCTAAATGTCTTCACCTCATTCAATGGTAAAGTCCTCTTTCGATTTAATATTTTGTTAATGTACTTGTGCCGCCTTATGTGAGCAAAAAAAATGCAACTTAGTTTTTCTCGAAAATAGTACATGCTACCGAATTTCGACAATTATAACTTTTTTTGTAGTATGGTTTAGAGTTTACAGAACCGTTTAGAAATGTAATAAATTTTGACTTTTAACATTTATTTTTTCAATTGTACCCCTTCAATTACCTGTATCGGCGACACTGCTTTTCAGAAAGAAATCGTTTGCACATTATTCTTAACGCACAATTGATGTTTAGTCGTGTACAATTTTAACATTTTTATGTCTAGCCGATTTAAAGATAATTAAAGAAAACCATTTGGAAAGTAATAACTTCAACACACTGTATCTCGAAAATAGGGCGTCCAAGAGAAAAACGTTACTATACATGAACCATCTCTATTATTTTCCCATGAGGAACTTGCACGCAAGTTTCTTTGAAACATGAACAGGACACCCTGTATTTATGGTAACAGATGTGTTTAATGTTTAATTGATTTTTCCTTCCACAGACATACTAAGACGTAACTTTTTTTTAAACCTACTTTCTACCTTCTGCTGTTCGCACTGCATAAACCACGTCCTCAACCGACTTTTAAATGAATTTGACGTCGCCAAGACAGGTAATTTAAGCGTTGCTCAAGCTGCACCACCAGAATCTAATCAGGATAAAATCGTTACTAAGCTGATGCTGGGATACCCTCGCGACCTTGAAAATGCATAGGAATTGCAAGACGGGGGGGTTGCTTACACGCTGCACCTTTCCGGAAATTGTACGGCTCCTTGCTCCTGGCAACAACCTTCTGAATATGGTTAAAATAGTACGATCGATACTGGAGTGCAGTTTAAAGATATAAGCCACATAAAAATGCCAGGGAGCACGGTCAAAGATATTTATGTTTGCTTAAGTGGTAACCAAACCACTGCTGTTTTCTGGTCGAGTGTGTGGATATTTTGAATTGCAAACGATGGCAACATAAAGGCATTTTTACTTAGTTTTACCTTTTTTTTTAATTTCAAAGAATTAGGCTAATTCAAATTGGAAAAGGATGACCATTTCAGGCTTTATTTAGAATTAATTTGAATTATTTTAATATATTTAAGGTAAAGTTTGTATACTTACCGTATTGCAACTATACAGGGTGTTCCAATTAAGATGGATTTTCCCACAGCTCTGATAATGTCAATAATACAAAATAGTTATTTTTGTATCTAGAACGCGAAATGGCTCTTTTGCGTTCAACAGTGGAAGTTATTTTGTCGAGCTCAGCGAGGCAAAATATCCATTCGAGAACGCAAAAGCATTTCGAGATCGACAAACAATATTTTTTCGAAAACTACGATAAAATAAGACAATTGTGTTATATACAACAATTTAATCTATATTTTTTTAAATCGTTTGAACTGTTTGAATCAAGACGGTTTAGGTCAGAATTATATATTGTAATTCATATTATAAAACTGTTTAATTCAAAATGAGTTTGAAAAATGAAGACGAGCATTTACCAGGAGCAGTAGTTACTACAAATTAAAGTTTTTTTGTGAGGTTTGTCAGGGAAAAATGTGTTAACCAAGTAGTTGGCGTCAACAAAATAAGGAATGTGCCAAAAGAAATAGCAACTTATCTCAATTTACCACATCCGGAAACTTATATACAGCACTGCTTTAGATGTTCTTCCGCCACTCTGTTAGCCAACGCAGGGGCCGATATTACCACCATTAATCGACATGGGGGGTGGCGTTCTAGTACGGTAGCGGAGATTGTGTACAAAGTAAAATTTCAATCGCAAATAAATTGTTACCATCTTCAGCAGAGCCTACGCAAATTGCCAATAATACAAGTAAACTTAAACAATTACAGCAACAGACTCATTGAACACCTAGAACTGAAAGCTACGGTAACTGACAGCACTGGATCTGGCATAACTATTGCACTCATTGCAATATCGGCAATTTCAGTTTACATGTAGTGCAAAATAAATTGTAATCGTCCTGTTTATAATGGTTACTATTTTGCATTGAAATGTTGTAGGTATTACTTAAAATGTATATTGTTTAATCAATAGAATCATAAATAAGTTTTGAAAAAATGACAAATTATTTTGACATTTGTTTTATGTAATAGAATGAAAAAGAACTGAAAATTTAACGAAAATGTCGACTTTTGATTACAGTTTTCGAAAAGAGTGTTTTAAATAAAAGTTGCATGAAATCAACTTCTCCATATTTTAACAATATTTCCAGTTATACAAGGCGTCCCATTTATTCTGGACGTTTCTTAACTTTATTTTTTCAAACAGAACACCATATTATTTGAATTTCTTCTTTAAGGCCTTTAATGAACGGATATAGGATCTGAAACATACCTACTGTTTTGGTTTTATTTGATGTTTCTAAACAAGAAAAAAAATGTCATTTTTAGCATCCTTGAAAATATCAAATACGTAATTCCAAAACTAAATATGGTGTCAAGATTTCATTTCTCCTTCCACTATAATATAGATATGCAAAATCGAACAAGCTAGGAGACATTATAATATATAAATTCAATTCAGCTAGAAATTGAAAAAATCAGTTTAAAACACTTTGAAGAACCCAAGTTGAATATCCAGGATATTCAACAATCTTCATACGCAAAGCATGGGTGTTAGAAAATGTGTTTAATAAAATTCAACTGTTTAATGATACTAAATAATAGTTTTAGAAAAAACACAATCAACACAAAATATCAAACGAAACGTATAAATAAAAATATCATATAAAACTTTAAATTGCTTATCACTATCACTAAGGAATCGTAAAAAAAATATAAAAAATGATTTAATTTTACCTACAATAGTGCCTGAAAGTATAATTATTCAATAAATAAATTTATCTGCAAGGATTTTATTGATAGAAGACTCTTTGATGCATTTAAAAACACATACGAGATAAATAAATCACTTTGCAGATAAATTTGCCGTACTGTTTTAAATTAAGCAGGTTATTGGTAAGTCAAAGTGTATGAATTGTGTCATAATTTTTAAAATTTTTGTAGAAAATCGAAACGCTTAATTAGTGAAAATTACGTATTGCAAAAATAAAATTTAGAATTACAGTGCATTTGATACCATATTGATATATGATATCGCAAACATGGGCCTTTCTAAGATTTAATTCCTCAAACAATCCAAACGACACTAAGAAACTGTTTACTTTGCAAGTTGTTTTATTTATTATAATTCTTGTTGTTGTTGTTAAAAATAATCGCCGAAATTGCATTACTTCAATACGACAATTCTCTTTTTCTAAGTTATAAAAAAGAAATTAAATTAAATTATTGAATTATCTTGTGTATTGTTAACTTTAGCTCATAAATGATGACACACATTTGTAGGGGACGATTTCTATACAAATTTGACCCTACTTTTTTTTTATCATAGAAGCAATATTGTAGATACTACGCATGTGAGGGTATGAATTAATTAGTTCTCAAACCATGGACAACTGCTTGGTTTTCTATAACTTAAAACTCGAATTCTTTTTCCCACGATAAAACTCTTGTCTGTACTAACACATGGATAGGTTTTTTATTATTATATTATAAAGGCTATCCTTTATTTTCACAAATATTACCTGTCCTTGAAGTTCGTTGCAACGTTTTTTGACACCCCGTATACTTAAGAAGTGTGTATCTCCCAAGTCTTAAAATTCCATTTTCCTTCGAACTTATGGTATATTTTGTAAATCTAAATGATTATTATTCCGAAAATCAAAGGAATGAAGAAAAGCTTATGTTTATAAATATCCACAGCGGTTAAATAAAACATTACAAAAATAATATTATTTCACAACTAATGTAAAGTAAAGATCTATTCGACAGCAGATGACTAGAAATAAATAACTTAATACTAAAACTATGCTACTGAAAACAATAAGTTCCTTAGCTTCTACAACAATCTGGTGAGTCAAAAAGCATTTGCTACATATGGCAATGAATTGTCGTTTTCAGTTTACGAGTAACTTAGATAAGTTTATAGCGCTTCTTTAAAGTGGTATTTAAACCTATTTTTATCAGGAACTTTGAGAATACAATCAATCATCTGCCTATCGGCAACTTTTCTTAGGATAGAAACTGGCCGAGGAAAAATCAGAAGTACTTGCCACTTTAAACAAACGGTATAAGTGTAGGTATTCATATGTTATTTCTTGTCGTTATCGTCTTCAATAGTCTCTAACGTCTCTCTTTGTGTATTTAGCGTTGATTGTTCTATAATCGGCGTTTTGGACGTATCCTCAGTTTCGATGCTCTGAAGCTCTTCGTTTTCTTTTTCCTTGTCTGCGTTTCCTTTGCCCTTCTTCTCTTTCCTCATTTTCTCTTCCATTTCCTGGAACTTCAGGGCCAGATATCTAAAAGTCAGAAAAATATTTAGTGCTATTCATCGTCTAGTATATCCATCACTTTATTTTTTCCTGAGGCATACTTTATGGTAAAAATTTCATCCCAAATGTTAACACCCTTCATAGACAAGGAATACCAAATGACATTTCGTTTAACAAATTAACGATTTAAAGTTTATTGCAAAATGTTTTAAATAAGATTATATACCGAGAATCATACTGATCATTGAATCAATTTTTATCTGGGATGTAACATTAATGGATATAATCGCATCCCTATTGCGTTAAAATATACACCGACACAAATAAGTTTGCTTCTGAGATAGTTCCACCCACAAATGAGCGCTGGACACGACAAGGGAAATACTTCAGAAGCGTATTTGTAAATCTATGTTATTCGATGCTTTGCTAAGCCCAGTGTCTTCGGTCATTATCCTCGGATTAGGGCTGTTAATGGACTGGGACGATTTAATTACACCGACAAATATCCTTAACGCAGGAAAATATCCTTAAATGTACAATGGGGCAATTATAAATGCTCAAGATATTTAAATGTACACACAGTCCACTATAACTACCAGAAGTATACCTACGTTACTGTGGATGGTAGATAATCACTTACTTGTCAACTAAAGGTCCACTGTAATCTTCCGGGAACTTGGGAGAGAGGGGGATGATGTATTTATACAATCTTTCATTAAGAACATAAAGCTGGGCCGTTGAGGAACACTTAACATTATACCACCAATCGCACGTGAGAGCAACCTGACTGAAAATCGTCCCATTGGGGCACAAAAATGACGCCTGGCCTCCATTTAAATCGCAATAGTGCCATACCTAGAAACAATAATTAATAATTTTTTGTATTCGATATGGTTATTTACCAAGAACATTTTGAGCTTTAGCATTTAACAGTATTTAACTACTTAGAAACTATTGAGGATGAGGCAAATAATAATAATTAGTACAGGTGTTGTAATATAAATTATATAGGGATGCATAAAATTAATATTGCGTAGAAAATATTAAAAAAGGCCCTACGTCACTGTTATCCGCAAAATATCTTTAGGTGAAAAATTTGATATAAAAATCTACAGGCATTTTGGAATTATCGAAGATAATGTATAATTTTAAATAAACTTTAGCTTCCTGCCTTAGCAACCTGTCAACTGTTTTTTGAATCGCCCTCTATATAAAGTTAGTACAATAATTTCCGTAAGTCTAAAATATTTTACGAGGAAGACAAAATTACTTTAAATAAAAATAAATTCTTCTAATGTTCTAAAGTTTAATTTGGTCTAGTTCGTATATGCATACCAAAAACTACCCTTAGCACGAAATAATGCAAAAAAATCTCACAATATACAGAATGATTCACAAATGGTGACCAAATATGAAACCTCGTATTCTTTGGTGAATTTTAAGGGGAGCCTTTCCTAAAAAGTTTTTATCTAAGACGCTTCGTTAAGAAGATACAGGACGTTCAAAAAATATTTTTAATTTTTTTGAATAATAGCGTCCTAGATAAAAACTTTATAGGAAAGATTCGCCTTAAAATTCACCAAAGAATACGAGGTTTTTATTTTTGATCACCGTTTGCGAATCATCCTGTATTTTGAGCTTAGATGCATTCGCAAATGCGTTTGTTTAGTGATTTTCCTTGTTAGAACTAAGATATTTATTGCAACTTTTATTGTGCCAGTAGTTACATGATTTTATGCAACTTGATATGTCGCCTGAATTTGCGGCGACAGCCCTAGCGACCGTGAACTGATGCCAACGAAATCCTCCTCTATTTATCAAGCTTCTTAAAAGATTTATTTTGTGGCGCAACGGGAAAAATATGAATAAATGCTGTCGAACGCAGTGATATGTTGTTCGATAATAAGGTCTCCAATAATTGATTTAAACACCATTATCTAATTTAGCAATTAATGAAATATATTCACTAATAGCTGTTAAATTTGGATACAGAAAAAAAATGTGAAATGTAGCTAAAAGAAAATTAACAAAAAAAGTTCCTATAAACGTTTTGTTTTCGAGTTACAGGTTAAAAATTAATGAAAATATTTATTCGGGAAGGAAAACAATCTAAATAATATACTTCATTCTATTCTTAAATAAAATAATTGCCCAAATTATTATCATTTTTTGTCATAGACAGAATTTGTGACCATTTTGGTCGTCACTATGTAGAATATTTCATAAAAAAAGCCATTACTTCCAATTAGATGTATAATGCTCTCAAAACTATATACTAAATATCGAAACATGTGTTTAATTAAATTCTCAAAAATAACGCGTCCAGTTATTTCATTTACAGTTGTATTGTAAACCCGTGTTCACAAGAAAATATAATTAATACAAAACTTTCAAAGCCGCATAATAAAACAACAGTTTGTAAAATTTCAATACATAATTCCCGCTTTTTGTTAAAGCTCTCAAAACAACGCTCTTGTTTTAAATGAAAGCATTGAAATTTTGTTGAATTCGTTCACCGGAAACATCATATAAAATGAATTCACTGTAATTTCTAGAATAGCCGATTATATTGTTTGTTCGAACTAGAAGTGCCAGATTTGCGGTTGTATTAAAGTTACAGGAGCCAGACGTCGCTTATGATTTACTGAGTTAACAAACTTGCAGGTAATAGGATAGGAACAGGAAAATCCTCTTAAAAATCGCCATATATTAGCAACGGTCTTAAAAAATATTCGTTTGCATTTCGTAGATTAGGAACACAGTTTTTATTTTAATTTTTGGAGTGCATTACATTTAATTCTAAGGGACGTAACATTTTTTATACACTAATGTAAAAGATTAAAGGATCAAAAGAATTTCCGAATTTTTTCCGTGATTTTTGACAAACTGGATTTAGGTGAAAAATGGTCGTATCGGGAATTAAAAAAAAGTATTTTGAAGCTCTAAGACTCTAGTTTTTTAATCTTTATATCGAAATTTTGTAGGAGCTACGGTTATCATGGAATTCTAAGAAATAGCGCGACTAAGAAATTTTACAAATTTTCTTTTTTTTTCATTTTTCTTTTTTTTTCTTCCAAGCGGAAGGTGTTGAGCGACCCAGGTCTCTGGTAGGCTGTCACAGCCACGTCCCCGAGCCTGCCTTAGGTCACCCATCCAAGTTCCAGCCTGCATCCGTGATGCTTATCTCGGCCGATCGAAATCCATCAGCCAAGACACCCGGTTAGGCGGTCCCCACCTATTTGAGGTAAAATGGCATCAAAAAAATTTTATTTTTTCCATTTTAATCATGATTATGAAATGTTCAAGCTCAAAAACCGTGGCCCTTTAATTTTCATCAAAAATTTAACTGTTTGAAACAAAGAAACGGTTCGCTAGATCGAGATGAAACTTCACAGGGTTCTTCTGGATGTCGAACTGTAAAAGTCATGCTTAACATTAATCATTTCATGAATATTTCTAATTTAGCCGTCAATTTTCTAAAAAATTTTTTTTTTTAGAAAATTGAAAATTTTTTTCTTGAATAAGTTCAAGAATTTTTGGTATGAAAATTTATCTATACAATTAGATTGGGATAGTTTTGGCTCAAGGGGGTTTATCGCTGCGGCCAGAAAAAAGGTGTTGGTTTTGGCCAATTTTGGGCGAGCCTCAAATTCAGATTCAGCACCCTCGAAAATGGAGGATGGCGTTGGTTTTGTAGTTGCAACAAATACTTCCCTATTCATTAACGATTACCTAATTTACATGTGGTTATTTTTGACTTTTGGTTTAACATTACTTAAATTTGGACAGACTATATGTTCCAAAAAAATAGAAGTTGCATTTATTTCCCCATCACATTTTGAAAAAAGATCCCAAGCTAATAAATTTCATGTATTTGCATGAAGCCTGTTTCTTAATATTCGTCCTTGAGTAATTACGATCAGATCGCGTTGACAGAATAAAATTCATTACCTGACAATTAGTGTCTGGATCACCGAAGAATCCCTTGTACCTTTGCGTCTTGCAGTTGAAACTTGTCTGAGGAATACTGGACAAAGCCGGATAATCAACACCCGGCTTTCCAGGAGTCCCACCATCAGGAGTGTCAGCGGGGAAACTTTGTGTGACAGTTCCTGGAATCTCGGATATATGTCCTCCTTTTACTCCACCTGGTTCATTTTCTGTACTACCATTATAGTCTTCGGAACTATCATCAGCGACCACTATGGGCTTGGAAAACTTGTGCTGCTTCTTCAAAGCCTCCAAGATCCTTACCAATGTCTTTATACTATTGTCGATGTTGTCCGGAGTCAGTGTTTGCGGTAATGTGTTTGTTTCTTGTAAGTGTTTCAGGATTTGACCCAAAGCGTTTGGATTCTCGGTATACGTCTGAACAGGGGGTGCAGTAACTGGCACTATAGTTTGATACTCTTCGTATTTTGGAGTTGTGTACTGAGGGATGTAGTTCGGAGTTATCGGTTCATACTCAGGAGTTTCAGTTACGTACTGAAAGGTAGGTTTGACGCGGTAGACTGGTTTCCTTTGAATTATCACTATGGGCTTGCGCAGGATAGCTTCTTGGTGCCCTGAAGGTCTGGGAAGCACGATGTAAGGCTTCCTGATGACTTGTTTAGGACCTTGATAGACTTTTTGTATCACTATGGGCTCATAGTTTTGATGAGGATAGCTGGACTGTGGTATTTCTACGGCTATGTGTTGGTTGACGTAAGGTTTTGCGTTTTGCTGGAAAGACTTGTAAAACATTTCCTCGTTTTCGTAGCTGTTTGCAGGGGTTACCTGTAAACGTTGAGGGACATCCTGGGCATTATATTGCATGCCTTCCGCGCTTGGTATATCGATATTAGTGGCGGTAAAAGTTTCTATAATTGTTTTCGTCGGTTGTATGGTTTTATACACGTCTCCTTCAGGAACATAACTGATTTGTGGCTTTGAGAAATACCGAGGCGGTTCCATAGGACGGCGACTTTGTGTATAAGCTGGCCGTCTGGAGTTCTGAAGTTTTAATTGTGATAATTTGTCGTATATAGTACTGTAATCGATGACTTTGGATTGTTGCGGTCGCTGTACAGCTACGTATTGCACTTTGAACTTCTGCGGTGGGTGATTGGGAATTATCGGACGGAATGGGCCAGGTATTGCGTTGCTTTCCAAGAACGGCGTGAACTTGCTGCTTTGGTACAAGTCGTTGTGGTCGGGTGGATTCTGATTGTAGCTCAAGTCGTCGTATTGCAAATAAACTTTCTTAGGGGGTGGTCGGTCGAATTGGAAACGTTGGGATGGCCCACTATGTTCGTACAGAGGCTCTAGCTGGGGTTGGGCCATAGGTTGAGTCTGATAGTAGTTTTCGTAGGGTAGCAAGCGTTTTTGGCGTTCCGACGGCGACAGGGTGATGTTGAGGATTTCTTCTGGATTTTCGTTCATCGTGGTGGCCATATTTGGTATTGTGGATTCTGATGGTTTGTCGTGATGGATTGTCGTGATTCCAGCAGTTCTGGAAGTACAAGCTGTAACAAAAAGGAGAAAGATGTATTAATACAGTGCTATCAACATCTTTACAGGGTGGTCCGAATTTTATGCAGGAAACTTCGAGGGCATATAGATCTCTTTAAAATAATAGGTGTTTGCCTTATAAACATAGGTCTGGAACGGCCTCGTTTTAGAGATACAGGGTGTTGAAGTTGTTAAAAAAATTTGATTTTTTGTTTATATCTCCGGAATCTATTAACCGATATTAATAAAATTTGGTATAGATAATGTATGACAGTAAGCCTTACATTTCCTAAAATATGAGCTCTAAAGGTTCAACCAGTGGTGTACAACTGGACAGGGGCCGCCCTCTTTTTATAAAAAAAACTACGCCACTGTATTTTTTGCAAGTTATTGTAACGGATTTATATTCTAATGCACTAAATACGTAAAAAAGGTAACTTGAAATTTTTCCCTAAGATTCACCGTTCTCAAGTTATTCATACAAATACAAACCCCTTGTGGCAGACACTTCAAACCATAATATTACAAGAATATTTATGTTTATACTTAAAAGGAAGTGCAATTTGTAAGCAGATCAACAAAATTATTTCCACATCACCTGTGAGGTAGTGTTCCTAGTGTATTTTAGTTTCTCCTGGAGGCTTAATCCACTATCTTTACAAATAAGGACAATTTAAATGAAAATAATAATAAAAATACATTTACCAAGCAACGACAATTAAACAAGAAATGAAATTAACGTTACGTATTTGCAGCAATTGTTCAAAATGCGAACCATCCACATCGATACATTTCTGACAATTTCTATTAATGATTAATGGAATTACCTAACTAATATCATGTGGTGGTTTTCTTTTAATTCATTACACCCCTCTTCTATTCGCTGCAGTAGTTGTGGTGGAGTAGAGTAAACTTTACTTTTCAGATAGGTAACCCCAAACGTAGAAGTCCAGGGGGTTTAGATCTGGCGATTTGGCTGGCCAAGAGACTGGATTCTCTGCACCATTATGGTTGACATTGGCATTTGGTCTTCAACCTATCCATCGCCCCATATAATTTTTAAGCCATTATTGTATTATTCTCCTAAAATGCGCAGGAGCACCATCCATTTGTATCCAGCTATTTTGTGGTATATTTAATGGAACATCCTCTAATAATTCAAATAGATGGTTTTCTAGAAAGTTTAGAAATGCTGGGAATTTAGATGGGGTGACAAGAAATAAAGTCCGAATTATTCCGAGCCAGAAAATTCGTTGAAAAGATCTTATCCGAATTTCACGAGGATTTTCTTGTGACCAAATATTGTGAAAATTCACTACCCCTCGCCTTGTGAACGTAGCCTCATCGGTCCAAAGTATTTCTAGTAAGAATTCTGGATTATGTTGTGACTTTAAAACAACCACTAACAAAAATTCAGGTGTGTCTACATCTCCCGGAAGTAAATTTTGCACAGGTTGTAAATAGTACGGATTTCTACCATCCTTATGTAGAACTTTTCAAATTTTCGATTTACTCACCCCAATGTTCTTAAAATTTCATTTCTGTGTCTTTCATTGAGCCGTCGTGATTTTCCAAATATCGTTTTAATCCAAAAGATGAAAGCGACGAGTGTAAAGAATTTTGTTGATGTGCTTACAAATTGCACTTACTTTTAAGCATAAACATAAATATTCTTGTAATATTATGGTTAGAAGTATCCGCCACAAGGAGATTGTATTCGTATGAATAACTTGAGAACGGTGAACTTTAGGGAAAAAATTCACGTTACCTTTTTTACGTATTTTGTACATTAGAATATAAATCCGTTACAATAGATTGTAAAAAATACAGTGGCGTAGGTTTTTTTTATAAAAAAAGGGTGACCCTGTCCAGTTGTACACCACTGGTAGATCCTTTAGAGCTCATATTTTAGAGAATGCAAGGCCTACTGTCATCCATTATCTGTACCAAATTTTGTTCAGATCGGTTAATAGATTCCGGAGATATAAACAAAAAATTAATTTTTTTTAACAACTTCAACACCCTGTATCTCTAAAACGAGACCGTTCCAGACCTATGTTTATAAGGCAAACACCTATTATTTTAAAGAGATCTATCAGCCCTGGAAGTTTCCTGCATAAAATTCGGACCACCCTGTATATGTATAGTGAAACATGTTTTATGTGAACAGAATTGTTTACTAACAATCATAACTTTATTAAATTTGTTTATAAGGGATATTATAATTAAAGTTTATTTATGATTTATTTAAGAGCACTTTTATAACCTTTACACGTTTCATTTACACTTTGTTGTTTACTTCATTTATTCAAAATCTGACAGAGAATCTAAAGTTTCTACTGTTAGTTCAATTTACCTGCAATTGCGAATTGTTAATAGTAATTTGGCATAATGTAAACAACTTTAGTTTAATCGGTAGATCTAATTGTTTGTGATAGCAGTTGCAGTATTATAAAACTATTGAATTACATACCGATGTTGTACATCACTAATTGGATGGACGGCTGTAGGTGGTGATGTGAATTATATTACGCGGTAATGCATTATCTGTAAACGAAATATGTCACTGCAACCTCATGTATATGGAAATCGACAATTGCCGCAAATTCTTCTGTTCCGATTTGGATAAATTTATTATCCTTTATGTTACTGTTATTTGTTGTAGCAGGTGTGCCATTTTAATCCAAACAGCTTAATAATTACCAATAAATTATATAAAAAATGTTTTAAATATGAGTTGTAGCATTTCTCCGGGGGAAGAAGACATTCACAGAGTTTTAAACTTTATTTTATGAACGGCAAGCTGAAATCTTTTTTTTTTCAAAAATGTGTAGGTATTGAATTATTTTAAAAACAACATTATCTCATTTTTGGATCATTCATAATTCTCAAAATCAACGTAATGTGGCATATATAGTACTGAGTAGTAGATTTTGAAATCAGCTATTGTTCAATTTCATGAAGATCAAAACTCTTCGGTAGCAATGAAATATGTAAAAAAGTACATGTCATAAAAATTAAGCAAATCCCCAAATTAGCAATTTCAAATAACTCGACAACTGCCTATTTTTTAAAGAAATGTTGCAAACAAAAGATGCGTAAAATTATAAATGGTATATGTATATTACGTACCAACGACTTATTTCCAACAACTGCAGTCTAACTGCGGAGATCATGGAATAATTACCACGTCTTGTGATGTAATGCGCTTAAGCGTTCTTGTTGATGACATACATTTTACGGATAGGAGTCCCATCCGTCTGGTTTTCTTCTCAAAACTAGGTAATACCTCTAAATATTTCATTAAATACCTACTTCACTTTCAGAATTGAATAGTTCACTTTCATTCCGTATTATTAACAGTACGTGCGCTTTATTACAGCAGTTTATTACATTGCTGGCGCAAGGACTGCGAGGAAGTCTTGTTCGTACATTTTCTTTGTAAAACTTTTATTAAATGAATTGCTGAATCTCTCGGTTCGTTTTTAATTTCACAAACATTTACAATCGTGACTACAAGATAGGTACTTTTGGTTTGGTTGAAGTTTTTTCTGCTGGATAATGATCTAATAAATGTTTTATTAATTTCTTAAATATTTTTGCACGATGAAAATAAAGATTTTTAGAAATATTAAGATTTAATAATTGCCTTACATAACAATTCTTAGGGCCAAATTCAGAGACTTGCCTAAATCTATACTACCTTTCACTTATATCAAATTTATGCTTCACTCAACTTAGGGTGCCCTCATCTCCTTCTCAATTCTGATATTCAGAAATGTATATAAATGAGTGACTAACTTGAGTGTGCTCAAACCACAAATTGCTAGATAAGGGAACAGTTGGCTACTCAAATATTACCAAAAATATGTCATCAGTGAAAACCTAATGTCAGGGTATTTCTTTATTTTGAATTTGGATAAGTCACGTTGAAAATATATACTTAATAAATTACATTTAAATGATAAATAATGAAAATCAGAAGGTCTAGTTAATTATTCAGGTAAAAACGATCCTCATATAAACCATGATATCCCTAGTAATAATAATCATATTTAGTTCATTTTCCTTACTATATACTTGATACAGTGTAGAATGAGGGCCAAATTCAGAGACTTCCCTAAATCTATACTAACCTTTCACTCATATCAAACTTATTCTCCACTCAACTTAGGGTGCCCTCATCTCATTCTCAATTCTGATATTCAGAAATGTGTCTAAATGAGTGACTAACTTAAGTGTGCATCAAACCACAAATTACTAGATAAGGGAATAGTTGGCTACTCAAATATTACCAAAAATATAATGACGTCAATGAAGACCTAATGTCACATTTTTCTTTATTTTGAATTTGAATGTTGAAAATATATAGGTACATAATAAGTTACATTTAAATAATAAATAATCAAGATCAAATTAAAGTCTAATTAATTATCTAGGAAACCCCGCAATTTCAAAAAATTGTCGTTTCAATATTTCCGTGTGGGCTGGAAATTTAATTAGTCTTGGTAAACTTCTTGCAAGTTCCTCGCTAATTTCTCGGACAATTCTGCAGACCGAGGACTGACTGATTGTGGCTACATCAGCATAAACTTGCTGAAAAGAAATTAAATTACATTTAAATCAAGATATGAATAATAATAAAAGTCATCAATACCTGATAAGACCCTGTTGCAAAAAACCGCAATGCCACATACAACTTTAATGCAGGGGGAACTGGTAGTCCACGATTATCACCATCTCTAATGTTATGATAAACCATTGGAAGTACTGTAGTTTCTATAGTATCTCTTGTATCAATTCACTATTAGTGTACCTTGCAAAAGGATTAGTATTATCTCAATAAAATTCTGAAAATAAAATGGAAATATTAGTATTACTGCTAATTACAATAGGTAAACACTTTTAGTTACTTACCTAGGTACAGGTAAAAAAACATCAACATCTTCAACATAATTGAAAAATTCCCAAAAATCATCTTCCATCTTACAGGATATGTATGTATGTAACATAA